GACACACAACCATCACAGGCCCAGTCAACAGGATTAGATGACTCACCAGTACATCATTCTAGCCGAGTCGACCAGACAGGATCGATATTAAACAATTTGACAGAGGATCAGTTGACTGAAATCTGGCAGGAGTTAGCTAGACTTGGCGCGAGAAACCAATCAAGTTCCATTGAGAGAAGCTGGAGACAATGGTAGGAATAAAACATTAGGAAACCAACCGTGCGATCAAGAAGATTTGATTGTACTGGAAAAATTAGCACGCGCACGCAATCTGGGTTTTTCTGAAGAGGAAGCTCAACCTAAATTATATTTACAGGAATGACAGGAGTTCAAGGCAGAGCAGCAAATACTTGATAAGGACGCACTCAGTTTAGTTAAGTCTTTATTTGCTAAAACACACGCCCAATGGTTACGTTTAAACTCCCATAGATGGACCACTTGGGAAGATTTCGTGAACACGTTTACTATATATTTTATCCAACCTAGAGCAGACTCAGAGATTAGTGCGGCGATTTATAATAAATACCAAACAGCTGACCAGGAAACTCAAGTATTCATTGACGAAATGCAGAAATTGTTCATAGAAATGACCAGTCCACCATCTGAAGAAATTCAAGTCAACATCATTGCCCAGAGGCTAACCAAACAACTACAAGTTAAGCTAAGAACTTCGCCAACCAAGTTCACGAAGTACATTGGCTTTCGTTTAGCAGTTAATATGGCTACGGCTAATTTACAATATCTAAGTAAGACGTACGACGAAAATGAAAAATTCTTTATCAAGAAAAAATCACACTCAACCTCTTGCCCAGGTTCGCGTCATACAATCATCAGAAATCATTCAGTTAGATGATGAAGGAGCCATCAATGATACAGAAATCGACTTGTCCATTAACTACGTAAAGAGCAATTATTCACAGCGCAGGGGAAACTTCACAAGAAATCAAGGATCAGATTTTCGGCAAAATAAGAACAGTGGTAGACGCGTAAATTACGCTCCAGGTGAAAGGAACTCAGATTCCAACAGGAGCCCGAAAGACCGAATTCCTCCTAAGGCTCTCAATCATTGCGAATATAATTCTGAGACTAGATCCTTCACTTCCCAATCTAACATGACACTCAATTTCAATTGAGAAAATGACGATATTACAGACAAATCGACAAGAGACGTACGAAAAGTCAAAAGAGTTTTTATGTTGGTATTTGTTTAAAATTAATAATACTCGTTACTTTATTAAATTAATAACTTACTATATGAAGTTTACTTATCCTAATTATGTTTTTTAAATTCTTCTGTTTACGAGTGTTTAAGTTCAAAATATTATAGTCTCTTTTATATATTATATTTTTGCGTTTCACATGTTGAGAGGAAGTTGACTTCCATTATACAAAATTTTATTTAAAAAAGTGTATTAATGTTTAAACACACCATGTTATATAATGTAATATTTTTTATACTACTCATAACGTTACGAGTTTCGTATTCGATAGAGCCAAGTTTCTATGAAAAAAATATTTTTTTATCTAGTAATATGTTAATACAAATTTTCATAGTTAAAATCTCAATAATTAATATTACGAAAGGGTAAAGCCAAAGTTGTAATCAACAGTTGTCAAATAAAAATTATAGATTGGTAAATGAACAGCAAAAACTAATTTTGTTAGGATTAGAGACAGCAGCTCAAAGTTTGATTTTAGGTGCATTGATCCACCGCTCCTAAATGAATATTGAGCTAGCCACAACGAAAGGTGTAGCCACCTCAAGCCAGGGAGGACTGCAACGTGGCCAGTTGACTCACATTGGGTAAACGCCAATTTACCACCTGATATTAAACATTTGCTGATAACATGTAAGTCAGATTAGAGACACTGCAAAATGTCCCGATTTTATCAGCCTAGCGAACTACCTCCCGAAATTTCCGTTACCGACACTAGCTAAATTAATGTCGAGCTCCCGTGACGTCACAAGACGTCACGAGGAGGGAAAAATCAGCTACGAACCTAAAAACCTGAGCATTGATCGACACTTCGATCTATTCCCCGGTGTCAACCACCACGCTAGATATTTCTTAGTCAATTTACTACTATACCACTATTAGGTGATTACTCACCACAATTTATAAAACTTACTACTAAAACCTACTAAAATTCTATTAACAGTTTACTACTAATTAATCTAATATTCTCTATTACTACTCTCTAAACATGAATAAGTGAATATTCACTTATTTAAGTGAGAACCAAGCCACTGACTTGAAAAAGTGGCTCGATTGGCACTTAAGTTAAGTGAATATTCACTTATTTGACGAATTTTCACTAATTCAGTTTTAGGGAGTACTATTGGGTGACTATTCACCATATTTTACCACTAGTTCGCTATTATATTTCTAATATTAAATAATATTCATTCTATTGTTACAAGTATTTTATTTTGCTAAGTTACGTTACCGAAATACCACAAGTTTATATTAAAAGTGCTTATTTTGTATAATAAAGTTAAGTTTATTGTTATCACCGCTATATACTATTACTAAACTACCACCATTCACCTATTTATTCACTACGACGATCTATATTCAGCAAAAGGATCAATCAAGGACACAGAATAATCACCGCAGTTAATATTGTAAGTAAGTAAAATAAATTAACTGGCACGCGTGAGAATTTCTGTCTAAAATTAATAAAATCATCTGAAGACTAAGACATTCATTAGTTCACGGGAGCGGAATATCCCAGAGCAGCGAATCCCACTTTTTCTGAAGTTTAAGCGATTATTTCCCTATCCGCAAGGATTAATGGCTTAAATATTTAAATTTTTAAAATATTCAAAAATTTAGTGTTTCAATAGGTAGTGAGAGATTTTATATCAAATGGAAGAGTGTATGAAGATATCAAACACCTGTTGTTGGTGATCTACAAGAGAATTAGACCAAGAAAGAGTGTTTCTTGCTAATCACTCTACTGGTATAAGTAAGAGTGGAGCACCTTTCATAGTTCAAGTCAGACCGCTGGAAAAACAAAAATTGTATATTCTTACCCAACCTAGGTTATTCCTTAGTCCTAGGGATAGACTTCGTGGTGAAATTCAGGTATACAAGATACTGATCTTGGTGTCTTCTAGTTCTTAAAGAACCCAGAAAAGACAGAGCATTTGACTTTTGTCTCAATTGTCAGCTCGGTGGTATAAAAACTAGATTTACAACTACAGTAAGAGTACCTAGCTGCAGTTTGGTGAGAGGGAGGCTGAGATGATATCTCAAGCTCACACAGCTGATGACCGGTAGTATCCAAAACTGTTCGAACGAAGGCGGGGTCGGAGACGTCTTTTAAGTCAGTGGAGACTTCAACCAACGCTGATTCATCAATTGAGCCCATATCTGAGCCAAAACCCAGTCCAAGTCCATCGTGGCCTGTACCAGTATCACCTAGAAGTCTAAAATTTTTTCTTTTTTAAGTCTACAGAGTCGACAGGATGTCCAAAGCGTTATGCCCGGACATGTACTAAGATGTCCCAGGGTGCTATTCCTAGTCAAATTTTAGTTCCAGCAAATACCTCTGTTAAACCAAGGTCGACAGTGTCTTCTAGATTTTATTAGGTCACAAGATCCAACGCACGGCTACGTCAATGAACCCAACACTTACGTCCATTGGACCATGATGAGGACGGGTAATTAGTTCAATGGACCTCGTCCTCTGGTCGTTTTGTTTTTTTTTGGTCCGGGAGAGGTTGAAGATCGATACACCCAAGTGCTGGTCTGGTAAGGGGAAGTGTAACAGGGTAATATTACCCTTAATCGATAAGTCGCCAGAGATCGATAACTATTCGACTAGCACTGGTGCGCATCGATCTTCGGGACAATAGAGAGAGTTAGTGGGGGTATTTAGGGTTGACTTGTTGAGTAGCTCACGTGCAGCGAGAAGAAGTAGTTTAGTGCTCAAGCTAGTGCTCTCAAACTAAAAAGTCCAAAGAAGGAAGCTCGTTGGATCCAGGGAGTTCTTCAATTCAAATTTACACAAGGTATTAAGACTTTTATACAGATGAGCCGCGGGGTCGTATACTCGGCTCATCTAAATACTACTTCTTATTTCCATTAATTATTTTGGTAATTCAATTGTTCATTAATAATTAATTTAATGATAATTCCATTATTATTTAACTGTAATTTATTTTGATTCGTTAGTTGCTCTTGAGCGTTCCTCTTGGGGGTTTATACCAGAGGAATGTTCGAGACCTTGCGGTTTTATCAGTTGTGAGAAATTATTTATTAATTTGGCCGATTAATAATTATTAATACCGAAAGATCGGTTTAGATAAAATTATTTTTATTAATAAAATAAACCCGAATTTTGAAACATCGAGAAATTCCAATTGTCGGCTCACGGATCGGACAAGCGTCGGTCGTATACCCAAGGTCAAAGCTTTACTACGCACTTACGAATACCGACGTCCATTTTGAGCGCGCAAATTCCGTTGTCGATTAATTCACGCGCCAAATTAATTTAACAACTGAATTTTATTATTAAAATTACAACAATTGAATTATCATTATTTAATTTTGTTTATTTGGAATCATTTTAATTATTGAGAACCAATTTATTGACATTTCGGCACAATTTGAGAATTATATACCCGTGGGTAAATTCTCGTTAATTTATTTTATACTGAGATAAATTGTTATAAATTATCTAGTCGGAAAATTCCACGCGGTTATTTTTGGTTATTGAACTTAAGTTCTGAAAATTTAGTTAATAATTTTAATTCCATCATCTTGTTAAAATTCTTTAGAATTTATTTAACTACGGGGATTATTAAGTCCGGGAAACTTAGTTAGTTAAAATTAATTGATGAAATTTTATAAGAACAATTTTATAATTATTTATTTATTTATTTATTTAATTTATAAGTCGCTTTAGGACTATTAGGTCATTAGTGACTACAGTTTAACAATATTTAAGGCATTTTATAACATACATAACAGAGCAAGCAGAAGGCAGTTAGATTAAATTAGTTGGAACATTGAAATTTCTAGGAGAAAGGCCAACACTTTTCTACACTTCTCGTCGTCTTTGAGCATCACTTGGAGGTCGTTGGTAAAACCTGCACGTTGTCTGGCCTGTTGGAAGTTGTTGCACTCTATCAGGAGATGTCTAACAGTGGACGGTGTGTTGCAGCTTTGGCACAGGTTTCGAGACTTTTTAGAGATGAGAAAGGAGTGGGTTATGTTTGTGTGGCCTATTCGGATACGGTGTAAGACGCACTGCTCTCGTCTACCAAAGGTTGGCACGTCTTCGTAGATGTCTTTCCTAACATCGTGAAGTTTAGTTGGTGATTGCAGCCAGAGGGTGTTCCAATATTTTTTAACCATATTAGTCATCAAAGTTTTAGCTTCATGGGGTGTCAAAAGAACTCCAGGGGGGCATTATTTTGTCGTTGCAGTTTTCGCCGCTTGGTCTGCTCTTTCATTCTCTTGGATTCCTGTGTGAGCAGTGTTACGATGTAGGTCATCGTCTAAGCTCGGGTAGCCTCCGGCATATTCAAATAGTACAACAGCATGGCCGCTGAGGCTATATAAGCGTGTGCAACCATGCTGTTGGCGCTCTTTTAGATTCTTATCCTAAGCCATAGGCCTCTTGCCGCCTATTACTGCCAGAAGCCTATTGTGCTTTCGCTCACATTTACCAGAGTTTGCCATTGTAATTAACAATTATTAGTCTTTCGTACTATTGCACTTTCGTTGCTAATTGAATTACGAGTATCTCTAAGTCCTTTTGAATGGAAAACCAGTAAATTGAGCAGGCAGAAAAGTAGTCTTTCTCTACTGGCCCTTTTTTCTAAGGCCCTGTTTTTTTTAAATTCACTCATATTCTCCTCTGTGGGGTTTTTTTTATACATGCGAAAGGCTTTTTCGGAGTTCTTGATCGCCACTTTGCAGTCGGGGTTCCACCAAGGCACAGATTTAGGTAGCACTGCTCCAGAGGATTTGGGTATTGAGTTATTGGCGGCAGCAGTAATCACTTCTGTCAGTGATCCGATGATGTCGTTTGCTGTCAAATTCGTAATAGATGTTAGAGAGGCAAAAATATGTTTGTGGTTAGCGAGGGCGTCATGATACTTTCCCCAATCGGCCTTGTTCAAAAATCATTTTTGCGGGTAATACGGCATGTCGCTGGTGGCGCTTAGAAAGTTAATGTGGATTGGGTAGTGATCACTACTACAATTATCGTCAGCAACAGTCCATTCAAGATCATTTGCTATGTTGGAAGAGGCGAAGGAGAGGTCAATTGAGCTCTGGTGACCGGATTTGACGTCGAAGTGGGTGTACGAGCCGTTATTAAGCAGATTGATTTGGTCGAGCCTATTATACAAACTTTCCACGATTTTTCCACGATTATCAGTCACCTCGGACCCCAATAAAGTTTTCTGGGAGTTAAAGTCGCCACACAGGATGAATGGAGTCGAAAGTTGGTTAATAATGTTCTCAAGGTCAATTTCTACAAGTGCTAGACTGTTCGGGAGATAGATACTACAGATTGTTACTGGATGAGCAGATCTGACTGTGAGCGCTGCGGCTTTTAAATGTGTATTTGAGAATCTCTTCGATGGTCCACTTGTCATTGATATAAACTGTAACTCCACCACTGGCTCTAAGGAAGTTTCGCTGATTTTTGAAAACCGCTTGGTACCCTCTGATTTTGGCGCAAAAATTCTCACTATAGTTTGTTTCTTGTAAACAGATGCAATCAACATTAGTTTTACTGATAAGTCGTTCCAAAAATTGTTTTTTAGCATAAAAACCATTGATATTCCACTGTAATATCTTCATTATCGGGGTAAACCAGATGGCTTGCAGTCGAGTACTAAGTATTCGATCAGATGTAGGGAACTTCAGGAGTTAGGGGCAATCCGGGGTGAAAGACGGAGTCAGATCAGAGATAGAATCTTCTGGGTCCATCATATCCTCCGTCGAAGATGCTGAGCTGAAGGAGACCATGTCGTCCAGGATCCCCCTTCGATTCTGGATATTAAGCGAGTGAATCGGTACTTAAACTTTCGGTCTTCAAGGTAGCTATGCAGCTTTCTGAGCATTACTACCGTGTTAGGTGAGTCGCGTTTGTGTTTAATGAGAGCATCTTCGATTGATGGGGTTAAAGGGGCATCATCAAGAAAGCTAAGAAGTTGTTGATATGTGCACGGGAACTCGGAGGGCACATTATTTATTGCCAACTCGATCGAGGCGGGAAGTTCCGGTCTCACAGCATTAGATTTAACGTTTTTCTTCTTCCTTGTATATTCAACGTTGGATGGTTTAGCAAAAAGTTGTTGTTGTGTAGGTAATGAGCTCTGTGAGGATTCATCTGACCTTAATCGTTTGGTAGGGGTGTTGTTTGAATCGTTTGTCGGTTGGGATTCGTACTGTTTAATTTGATTGTTGTTGGCACGTGTAGGTGGTAGTGGGGGGAAGGGGGACCTTGGAGTGGGAAACTTATCCTGGTGGGCAGCAACATCCATGTTTTGGTTAAGTGTACCCTTCTTTTTTGCAGTTAAAGCATAGCATTGAGTCTAAGGATGGATAAATTGATAAATAAAATAGGAAGTATCGTCGTGGTCGATTTTCTACAGCGTATGAATTTTGTTGACGTCTTCGGGCTTAATAAATGCCTGACGTCTAAACCTCATGATATGTTGGTATCCAGGAATGTTTAAACCAGCTCGTAATGTCGTAATGCTTGAGACCGGGCATATTTTTGATTCATTAAGCTTAGCAAGAATGATGTCACTGGGGATTATCGGTGGAACGTTAGAGAGGATTACCCTTTTGTTCCGAGAAATGAGTGGTCGAACAATAACTTCAGTGTCTCTCAATTTATCAGTTTTGTGGACAACTACTAGGGTGTCGGCGATTTCTTTGGTTGCGACATAGATGCATACTCGGTTGCTCGCGATTCGTGACAGGTGGCGGATATTTTCTGGTTCGATTTTGGTTCCGATGGCGATTGCATACTTATGGATTTGGATACCGTCTATGGCATCAATGATAACAGTTTGATCTTTTGTGGGGACACATTCAGTTTGGAGTAAGTTGGTGTAACTATTTTTTTGCGAGGCCATAATGGCCAAAGATCTCCGACAGAGATCTACCGCAAGATAAGAATGTTAATAATGCAACGATTATAGCAAACACGGAAAACTAAGAGTTAAAATACACACGAGAAACTATATACACTGATAGCCGCTGCACGCACTATACACTCGTAGAACGGAGCCCGGTCAACACGTCTGTTCGGTACGAATGTTGGCGAGCGAATCGAATTTTATAATTATTAACTAAATTACGAATAAAATGGGAATAAATCTATCCGTCGAATGTTCCGGAAATTTACTTAACGTTGAGTATTAACTCGTAGTAAATTTGGAATAAATTCAAGCGTCGGTTTAGTTCGGACATTTGGGAAATTTTTAGTTTTGGAAATATTTTGTGTCTTAATTATTGGCTAATGACTAAAATTATTAAGTAAAAGTTTAATGTAAAAATCTTTTGGAATTAAACTTTGTGATAATTTTTATTTAATAAATAAAAGTAAAGTAAAGTCAGTGTGTGTGTGTGTTTTTTTTTTTTTTTTTTTTTTTTTTTCCTTTTTACGGGGGAAGGTCTTTTTACGGATTCTAGGCATAGATGTTGGCCCGGATATGTGGCGACTCGACGCAGCGTCATACTAAAAACTTGACGCTGACGCCCCTACCCACTAAACCCTAAACCCCTTTCCTCTTTCCTCTAATCCCTCATGGAAACCGCCGTCAGGCATTACTTCGTGA